GTGTTTAGTGGCCACTGATAGACTGGTGGTCTTGTTGTGTTTGGTTTGGGGTTTTTTTTCAACCTATTTATATTTGCTCAGCATTGCTCCCTGAAGCAATGAGTCTATTACTTGAGAAGGAATCTAATTATATGAGAAGGTATAATTGTCCTTTCTTTGTAACTAGAACAATTATGTTTTTTGTTTGTTTGTTCTCTGTGGACCATGTGAAGACATGCTTGCATGCCACTCTTAGTTGTACTTGAAATTTTTTTTTAGTTTTAGGTGAACGTAGAAAGAACAGGAAGTATTCTTCAGAACTTGTTTTACGTTATTGTCCCATTTCTTTTCCTTGTCCCTACAAATTTTCAAGTGTCACAATTATTTGGAATACCTACATTCAGTATAATGGATTAGAATTACAACTGCAGACATAATATCCTACCAGTTCTAAAGGCAAGCTGCAGAGAAATTTTAAGGGTGGAAGAAATGCCTTAAAATGGAAGACCTGAAGAGTCACATTTCCTATGTTTATTAAAGAGTGGAATTACAGTCTATAAGTATCTTTGTATTCAGAAAATACTTGGTAAATAAAGACTCTGTGATATGTCAGAGAAAAGTGTACTAAGATGTCTTTGATAACACACCAGTAAATTCATAACCAAACTTAAATATATATTTTTTCAAATGACCATGAGAATTATCAGTAGAAAAAGCTTCCAGGAAAAGTAGCAGATTGTCCACGTACTCAAGAGTCAGATTCTGTTCTGGGAAGCAGGTTGGCCAAATACATGTCATGCTGTAATCAAGTGTAAGCAGTTGGGTTCAAAATCATGTAATGGAAAGGCATTTCACAGTTTGTCATACAAACACAGGGCGAGATAAGATGACCTAATGGTCCCTCTGGTCCTTTAAGACCAAAGAAATATGTGAAAAATATCAGTAATGAAAACCAGATAGTCATCTTGAAAATAAGATACATGGAAAACAAACATCATACTTGGCAGGGATGCTACCAAACATAATTCAGCGATACAGACAATTGTATTCACAGGAATACAAGCACCTGGTTGGATGTGGATAAGAAAACAGTATAAGAAGTCACAAGGAAAAGCACTTTTTCTTTTTTTCCCTTTTTTTTTTTAAATTTTTTTTTTGATTTTCTCTCTGTCGTTGTTTGTTTATTTGTTTTTTTCCCCATGGTGAAGGCGTTTTGAAATACAAATTTCAAATAATAATATTCTAATTATTTTTTTAAATTTTTCTGCTCGCACTGGTCAATGTAGACCTCATTTCTGGAACTGTCTTAAGTTTTAGAACTCACAGGCACTTGCACAGATCTGATTTCCAGTGCTAAATTGTTAAGATTTCCTTTCCACCAAAAGAGGCAACAGTTAACAGTGAAGATGAACCTGTGGTATCTTGACTACTTATTGTTTGCAGTAATTAAATGCAATATAACTACCATATTACATAGTATGTATCCTTTCATGGATTTTGAATATTAATGAGTTAAAAACTCTTCCCAGTATTATAATGGGTAGGAAACAGTAAAAGTGGCAAGATTTGTTTCAGTAACAGAAACACATGTAAAAACCAATAACGAAAGGCAGCTCGGGTAAGAACAGTGTGTGTCTGTTATTTGGAGTAACGCTGTTTAAAATACGAAAACACATTAGATAGGAATAAAAAGCACCTCTTTTTCTTCTTAAACGTGGAACTGTAGATAGTCATACTGTAATTCTTTCTTTGCAAGACTTCAATCTGTTTATTTTAGGTCATTAGCAATTTTCCAAAATATATGTGTTCTTGAACATGAGTGGCAGAACCCAGGAGACTTTCTGCCCTATGCAGAGGAGCAGTGAACATTCTACTTTCTTCTGTTGGGTGCAAATGGGCCTCCTCTGAAAATAAAGACAAGATGGGTCACTGTTCCAACGTCTGGCAGAAAGTAAGACTAAGAACTAACAAATATAACTGTACACCATAGTGTCTGGACATATTTGACAGCAGTAGATGATAAGAGACGGTGTGTTTTCTCTGTTATTTTTCAGCAAACCATTTTTCTTTGTTATATCTCAGAGAAAGCAAGCTTGGTCCAAAGACGGAGATTTGCTATATTCAGTTCTTGGTAAAATTATGAGGTTATTTATTTTGAGGTATTCCTATATTTGAGAGCCCTCAAAAAATTAGCATCAAATGAGTTTGGTGGTTTTTTGTTGTTGTTTGTTAGTTTTGCTTTTGGCTTTTCTTTAAGAATAGCTTGTAACTTTCGTATTTGTAGCACATGCTGTAACAATGACCACTTTGGGTCAAAAAACAGATGATCATACCTCTGGAAAAGTGAAAGCAAAAACTACTTTACCTCAATTCTCTCTCCAGTTTGGGCCCTCTTTTGAACGAACACTGACTTGAAAACCATACACATCATCATTAATTTTTTTCAATACCATTTGAATACCTAGCAGCCACAAGTGATTTCTCTCTTCATCTTTACTCCCATAATCTCATCCATTGTTTTTGCCCACTGGAATTTTTCTATCTCTACTTTTCACTTTTCCCCTCTCTCTAAATAAACATTTTTTATTGGTGCACCAATATCTAATTTTCCTCTGGGAAAAGAGGTGCTGCAAATAAAGTATGCTCTGGAATTTCAGGATATGAAAGCTTTTCACCTCGTTCTTCCTCAGAGGTCTGTAGCCAGAGAGGAATTGTGTTGAGTAGTTTAAATTTCTCGTCTCAGAGCTACATCTAGCATAGCTTAGCTTGATATCACTCTTTTTCCCTTGGCATTTACCTGAGGGGAGGGAATACAGTATGCAATCAAGATTCCCTGTTAATTTTGAAATATGAAATAATGCAGAATTTCAGTTAATTTTTTTTTTAAACTAACTTAAAAGTCAGATAATATTTGAATATTCCTACTGTGTGCTTTATTCTGTAGTTAACTGTTCACAGTGCAGTGTAACACAGCAGAATCACCTCATCCTTAGAAGCAGTTGTCAGAAAAATATGGGCCTGCCTGGTAGAATGTATTAGCCCAATACATTGTCTCCATTTTATTATGAAGCTGCTGGGGAAGCTGTGATATACAGCACTGTCATTACAGATCTATTGTTAGAAGGGCTCTACAGTCTTCTGTGCGCTGCCATTAATTTATAGCAGTAAACAATATGTAGCCCTCCAACTGCAGCAAAGCAGAATCTTTTAATGAGGTGGATGTTATTACCACAATAAATCAGTGCATTCGTGTAATGTATAATTCAATGTGTGTATTCCCACTGTAACTTCTCTGAGTAAGCTGATAGTGTATCATTGTCAGTGCACAGCTCCACAGTTCCTTCCCCCCCCCCCCCAAGCTTTTTTCATTTGGAGACTTTTTTTTATTCGCTTGCAAATAAATGTGACATGTCTTGATAGTTGTCCTGTTGCAGGCTTCAGAAACCAACTGTAACAATAACAGCTAAAATCAATACTGTGGATTGTGGCTATATAGATCTCTGCATGATACCTTTTTTTTTTTTTTTTTTTTTTTTTTTGAGAAGAGAATGAAATCAATTCTAATTGGGTTTGGCTTTATATTCAAGGAATGTAATTCTATAACTATTGATTTGGGCTATACTCATTTGGAGAATAATAACAATAGAGGCAGATAAAGTGAATACATAAAATGTTACAGAACCATACAACACAACACTGTTTCTATTTTTAATTTATATTATTTGTCTACCAATGACCTTCTTTCTTCTTTTTCCCCCTCAAGCATAGCTGAGTCTTTAGGGAAAAATCAGTGCAGATGTAGATTCCAAAATGGTTCTCGCAACAAAGACACTTCTTGGAGTCAGCTTCATACTTCCCCGGAATAAATTTGCTAAATCAGATAAAAATCCTTTTATACAAGAGCAACTTCTTTTAAAGGGTTATATTTCAAATTAGTGAACTGCAAAAATAGCAATTAACCTAAGATGTTTCCTTTATCCTACTGCAATGGGAAAGCTGCTCTAAGTAAAAAATGTACAATTAGATCTTAGGTCATTCAAAGATCTAATCTGTCCTAGAAGAGAAAGTACTTTGAAGCTTGTATGCCAAATTTCACATGAACTGCAAAGAAGCAGTTATTTGAATAATAATAATCTGAATAGCCGACATAGCTTTTCACTTGAACTGTGCTTGAATTAAGGACTAGATTGCTGATAATTTTGTTCAAGGATTTCTCTTTTCAAGTTTTTCCTTACCTTGTAGCGTATTTTTAAGTGTATTTATTCTTGAAGAAGAGAAAGAAAAAATATATATATATACTTGAATGCAACCATTGTCTATACAGATGAACATAATTTGCATTAATAACATACAGACTCAATATGTATACAAAATTGTATTGCATATATATTTTACATCAATCCAAAGATATTATAGATCTCTTTTTTCCCCAGTCATTTATGTAAAAGTCTGTTGAAGAAATAAACAGCTTTAGATAACAAAATATTATATTTCCTTTTAGTAAAACCCTGGGTGTTTATCTGCTAGGTAAGCACTGAACAAAGAATTGGTGAAAGAATTGGTGATATTTTTAGTCATACGTATGTTGTTTCCTTTGTATCGATGTTTTTATATAGAAATTCTGGTCTTTCATTTGTTTCTTTCCAGGTTTAAAATTTTACAAATTAAGTAAACTTGTCTTAAGGTTGTAAATGGAAAGCATAGAAATAAGAATAGTAGTGTCAAAATTCCATGTCCACTGTTAATATTCTTCCACTCTATCAGTCAATACTTTTTTCTCAAAAAAAACCGTCCAGAGATGTTTGTAATTGTTGCTTCCTGTTGGTTTGACAGTGTATGCAGCATGCACACCCATCCACAGGCCCACAAGTTAACACCAGTTTGTTGATCTGTTCAGGTGCTTACAGAAACCAACATCACCTTTTCCAAAACACCAAACCCAGAGAGCATGGGGAGTTTGCTGTGATAATAGTCGCGTTATTTTTATTTACTCAATTAATTTATTTTTACAAATCTTGCAGCCTATTGGAGCTTTGAACCCAAAGAGAGCAGCATTCTTTGCCGAGAGATACGAATCGTGGGAAGATGATCAGGTTCCAAAATTTCACTATGGCACACATTACTCAACAGCAAGTTTTGCACTCACGTGGCTATTAAGGATTGTAAGTACATATTTTAAAAATGCTTTTCCTTTGAATGATAATGAAAGCAACAAATGTCTAGGAATGAGTAAACTAAAACTCAACGGCATAGGAGAGTGCTGAAATTTTCTAGTAATCAGTAGCATAGAAGAAATGTGTTCTAAATTTCAAACAGAAAGTTTTAATTTTTGTGATAGAGCCTATTCAAATCAGTAAAACTTTTTCTTCTTAAAAATTGTTTTTTAATGTATATTGTACTTCTTTAAACATGGTTAACTTTCCTTCTTTGAATATTTTCTGACTGGACCAAGTACCAAACATTTGTGGTTCTTAATTAATGTATTTAATTTTCACCTCCTAATGAGTGTGAGTTGGTTTCTGATGATCATGAAATCTTGTGATGTAAATAATTAATTTTTAAAAATCTGCTGCAATTTGTATGGGAGTAACTTTTGCGATGCTACATATTGATAACGTATTGGTTAAACAATGCATTTTTCTATAAAATTGAAAGGTGATTTGTCTCCTAGGAAGTAATTTCTTTGGGAAAGCATTAGCAGCACATCATTAATTAAAGCTTGTTAGAATGTACAAGCATACATAAATCCTTGAAGTAATTTATATAGCTTAGCTAATTTCAAGCAATTATCCACTAATATGTGCTTAAGTGTTCTTTAACTAAGAGGAGGCTTTTAAATCTTCCAAACATTTTCCTAAATCATAAATTATGTATTAAACAATAACAATCCTCAAGCTTTCAGTATTGAATGCTACCCTTTACATTAAGAGATCACTTTGAACAAAGTAAAACATGTTATTTTTGTTACATGCTAGTTTAAAAAATATGTAAGATATCCGACCTTTCTTGTGTTGTTGAGAGCAGTTTGTGTCATGACTGTAGCTTCTACTACAGTCTGTGAGTATTTTCTTTAGGTTTTATTTGCTTTATCTGAGTATAAATGCATGGAGTAGGAATAAAAATCATTTATTGGACAAGTAAGCATCAGTTTGTTTTTCTCATTCTTGGATAATGGAATTAACCCTTTGCTATTAATCTGTGTCTGGCAGAAAAATAGCATCATTAACAACTATACCCTACAAGAATTATAAATCCTTTTTTTTTCTTACCCTGAAATTTCTAAAGAAATACTTTGTTGTTTTTAATTAATCTTTTTATATATATTTAGGAACCCTTCACAACACTTTTCCTAAATCTGCAAGGTGGGAAGTTTGATCATGCAGACAGAACCTTTTCATCTATTTCGAGGGCGTGGCGCAACAGTCAGCGTGACACTTCTGATATCAAGGTAAAAAATTTCCTGAATGGTGTTAACATATTTTAGACTGCTCCTGCCTTTATTGTTGCTGTGAATGTAGGTTATGAAAAGGAGAAAGAAGAAGACTGGGAGCTATCCTACCACTTGGGAAAAGATTCAAGTGAGGTGACAAGTGGTTTTAGTTTTGTTAGAATATTTCAGTAGCAAATGTTTTTAGCCCTGAGATTGAAATAAGGCAAAATTTGTTCAACAGATACGCTTCACTAACGTTTTGTTCCTCAGCACAAGTTTTAAGCCTTTGTAAAATCAGTAGAACTGGTATAGATTTCTGACCACTGAGTTTCGTTAAATACCCTGTTCAAGCTTCTGCATGATAAGGTAAGAATGTTTCAGTTCATATTATTTTATGTACTTCTGACACCAGACATCCAACCTTATTTTTGGGCAGTTTCTGCAGTGGCCTATTTTCTTGTTTGACTGTGACAAACAGGAGCAGGAGGCTGTGCAGAAGGGACAAAAACTAGTTTTATGATGAGGAATAAGTAGATGGGCGGGTAAGGAACTGAGAGGGAGATCTGGGAGCAGCCTCCAGAAAGACTGTATACTGAGTAGAGGAACAAAGGGCTACAGTAGGTGGGAACAGAAGATAAATTTATCTGGTAATTAGTTGTTGTATAGAAAGAGACCTAGAATTAAGTGGATCAAGAAGCTAAGACAGGAGAACATAGAAATTCCAAGGGCAGAGGTTTGGATAGCAAGCCACTGAAGGAAGGAGTAAGGTAAACAAATGAGTCTGGAATCTGAGGAATATTTTGATCTGGGAAGAGGAACAAAAGAGACAAGGAGGCTGTCAGCTGTGGGAAAGCTTTGTGGACCTCAAATCCAAGAAGAAGGATTAGTATCAGAGTTGGGTTTTTTTAATGGAAGGGAGGATGGAAAAGCATAGGGTGAAGAAAGTCAGAGGCTTAGCTCAAGGATGTCATGCAATAGCAAGAGACTTAAGTAACACAAGATCATTCTGTAAGTGTATGCATAATGAGGAGACAGTTTAGGAATGGGTTGATCTGCAAATTAATGGAATGCAAAAATTGCCAACTGATAGTGTTGAAAAAGTGATGTCTTCCTGGCATTTGTGAGTCCCACTAATAGAATCAAAGCCAATCAGTGGCTAGTGGAATTAATACCACTTACAAAAAGATACAATGTCTGTACAAAATTGGGAAAGAACAGTTCAGAATATACAAACACATTAGATTTTTTCAAATTAACTGTGTTCATGGCCTTCATTTCCTTATAACCTATAAGACTGGCAAATGGAATTTCACAGTGCATTTTTGGGGTTTTCTTGATAAGTGGAGGAGGAGAAAAGGTATCAGTGGTGGACAAATCAAGTATTTAGTTTTTAAAAAGGAAGAAAAAGGGAGCAAAAAAATTATGAGGTGAGCTTAACTACAATTCACAGAAAAATACTTACACAAATAATCAGACTGTGTTTAAGTGCCAGGAAGATAGCAGGGAGACAAGCAAATGAAACACATGTTTATCAAGGAGAGATTATGTCAAAGCAATCACAGTTTCTGATGAGAAAAGGTAACAGACCTTATAAACAGAGAAGAAGCAGATGATGATCTTAGTTTTTTACATTGTCTTATGAGTGAGCTGGGATTACTCTGTCTAAAAGAATCCACTGTGTTTGGAGAATAGTTACCAGCAGTTCATTATTAAAATTGAAAGATGTACTGAGTGAAATTCCTCTTGATGATAATAGTTTAGGCCTCAATTCCCATTGATACTAGATTGGAAGGTACTGGAAGTATAGTGGAATTGGGAGCACTTCTTGCGGAAAGGAAAAATTATTTGAGAAAAGTGTTAGGTGAAGTTTATTAGGGAAAAGTGAGAATTGTAATTTTCATGCTGGTTCTCGTACAGTTATAACACAAGGAACAATCTGCTGTGCAAAGGAAAAAAAATAAAATTCTGGGCTCTAGTACATCACCAGTGCACATGAATTAACAATATTGTGGTATAACAAAAGGTGAGTAACATTTCATAAAAGATACATCAACAGGACATAATGTAACTTTCAAAATGTATGACATAAATCTTCAGCTTTGCCCAGCTTTGATAAGGTCTTAGCTGGAATATTACATCCATAGTTGTGGGCCAGTTGGAGAGAATCCACACTGGAACACTGGTAACAATGCAAGGTCTTGAAAATATAATGCAGTGAAAGATGGAGTAGCTATACTTGTTTTTTCTTATAAAGCGGAGAAGATTGAGGAGGAACTTCAATCCTTCTATTACACAGGGACAGCTGTAAGAAAAAAAAGCAAAAATCTCCGCTACCCATGCTGGATAGAACCATACTGGATAGAACAGGAATTAATGGATTTAAACATCAGGGAGATTTTGATTAGATGTCAAAGTAACCTTTCTAACAGAAAAATAAAACCAATTAATTCTTCCCTGGCAATTAGGGTAGGGAGGGTTTTTCAGAAATGGTTTGGTATCTTTTGGAAATGATACAGGTGCAGGCTGGTACCACCATTAGAATCATCCCTACTGTTATGGATGATCTCTTGAAGTTGCAGCTTTCTGAGACTGTGAATTGCTGTGAATTCTCTTATGCTGCTGTGAAGCATCTGAATGAGTATTAAGATTGGCTAGAGTAGTCTGTTTGTGAGACTGGATGAGACTGGATGAGTTTGGGACACTCCCTTCCCTCCCAGGAAGGGAGATGAGGAAAGATTTCCATAGGATATGTTTAAAGAATCTGAAAGGAAAATGTTTGAAAATGCATAGAACCATCTTCATTGGAAATACCTCTATTCTCAGTATTCTGCTACAGCTGTGAAAAACAAATCTTCTGAGACGTGGTGCTCTGTCTTACAAGTGTTTGTGAAATACATGGCTGAAGTGTCCCATGTGTCTCTAGAAATTTTCGACATGCAGAATTGCAACATTTTAGCTTGCTAGTGCTTGAATTTGTTTAGTTGACACATGCGTCAAAGAGCGTGAATAAAGTGGAGCACATAATTTTGCTCCTCTAGTTAATGGCAAGTAGGGGACACAAAGGAAAAAGAAGGATTTATTCCTCTTCCAGCTGAAAAAAAATTGTGACATTTAGAACCACTGAGCTGATGAAAAGAAATGATTTCTCCTTGCTTCTCACGTGAAGAGAATGAATGCAGTTATTGATGCTTGCTATCCTAAGATTATTGTTAATCTTACTTGGATGCTTTGTATATGACAAGGAGGACTAACAAGAGTTAGCTTTGGAACCAACTCCTGTTGGCTGGTACCACTAAAACAGAGAAAGCTAAAGCATATGTGTGGTCATAAGCAATCTGTGTCAATATCCTGTGAAAGCCTTGGATTGATGATCAAAGCAGGAAACTAATGCTGCACTGTAGTATAACCTTTGGTTGAACTTTCCAAATTTTGATTTCAAGAGGTGATATGTTGCATAAAATTTAATTTCCTAGTTTATCTCATCTATTTATTTGAGCAATGAAAATTAAAATTCCTTTGGAGGTTTGCTAGTGTCTCACTGCCACTCTTTGTTATTTACTAGTTAGCTCAGGACTGTTGCCTTTAAATGATTAACCATGTGTTTTTAAGTTAAATCTTCTACACTGAAGAATATTGAATGTTTTTCAATTCTGTGAGAGTACCACCTAGTACTTTTAATATACTATACAGGCATTATCATTAACTCAGTTGCTTCTTAATTTACAGTGCAAACAGTCCTGGTTAGTTTGTTTAATACCATAGAAAAGCAAACATGGGTAGCCTGGCAGTATATTTGCATGTACTTGTTCAGAAAGAGTTGTTCCTTCTGGTTTGGTAGCTAAACTGTTGCAATAAATTTATTTGTCATTATATTTGCAACAGCATAATTGTTACCCATGTTGCACTTAGCATATGTTTTCTCTTTTTCAAGTGTCATACTTTGATGATGGGGTTTTTTTGGGTTGTTTTTTTTTTCTTCTTTATACCACATATATAGATTTCAAGATCATTTGCTGTCCTCCAAACAGCTGCGTTGCCTTCCTAGTGTCATCTGTAATTTTGCTTCTGCACCTTCTATGCCAGGCCATTAATGAGATTATTGACTGGTATTAAGAGCAGGGTAGACTCCATTACCATGTCCTCCCATTTTGACAGTGAACTATTGATAACTGCTCTTGGAATATGGATTTACAGCTTGGGTACTCCCACATTATTGTAACCTAATCTCATCTCCATTCCTCTGCTTTGCTTATAGGAGTGTCATGGGAGACAGAGACAGTCTCAGAGGGCTTTCTCAAAAGCAAAGCAACACCTTAACACTTTTTCTTTCACCATCCTCTCGTGAAATTTTCTTTTGAAAAGAAAATTAGATTGGCTTAATGTAATTGATTTTTTGACTATTTTTAACCAAGTTACAGTCAGTAGGATAGAGACATGTACCATTCTTCATAGACCTTTTCCTCTACTGCTTTATGTTTGTTTCTTTTACATGTGCTTATGACTTGGGGTTCATTTTGGTTAGTTTAATTAGTTTTGTTCAAAAGGAGATGCTTGAAGACCATAATCTTACAGAAGACATTAGTAAGCTCCAGTTACACTGTTCCAGATTGTTCCATCATAAAATGGATACTAATTTATGAAAATCAGTTGTGTGATATGACACATGTCAGTGACAGCTAGTGTAAGGCTGTTGTGATGAATTCATATCTCATACAAGAGATATGGCAAGTTATGATCCTCATCAGCTTAATTTTAGGTACAGAAATGCTGTTTTGGCAAGTTAACTGTGTTGTAAAACTCATTAGCGTCACACCGTTTAAGACAGCTTTTCTTCAAGTCAAGCTTCTTGTTTAAAGTCTCTTTGAATTTTAATGGTATTAAGCAATGTCTGCTATAATGTTTAGATTGTCTTGGGCTCCTAGGAGTGTACTAAAGTGTTATAAAGTGGGCATCTGGTCTGTGTAAACACTATTGGGATTGGGGGTACTGGTTTCGACCAAGGTTCTTCAGGAGTGTCC